AGAAATATGATAATCTCACTGACAGTCATTTGTAGGTGATGAGTCACTTCTTCGTGCTTTCAGAATTGTCTCTTTGGCCTCCTACAGTTTGATTATAATGCATGTTGCTATAAATTTCTCAGTTCATCCTACTTGGAGTCTATTCAGCTTCTCAATGCTAATATTGATATCTTTCATGAATTTGGGATTGTTAATTATTTCTTAAGATACTCTGTTGGAGACTTGCACACTCTGGAAGTGTGGTGTACCACAGACATTGAAGGCTCTGCTTACTTTTCATTGTTTTCTTTCTGTTACTCAGACACAGTAATTTAAATTGTTGTATTTTCAGATTTGCTTTTTCTCTATTTTTTTCTGCCTGCCAAAATTTGACTCGTATTCTTTCTAGTCGATTTTTAAATTTAATTACCATGTTTTTAAGCTTCAGAATTTCTTCTTAGTTTCTTCTTGAGGTTTTCTGTTCATCACCTTTAATAGATTTCTGTCAGGTCTGTTGTAGACATAGTTTGTTAGGTTTTGCTGTTATTGCTTTGAATGAATCATTTTCATATTTGTGTGCCTTGTGCTATTTGTGGAAAACCAGATGTTTCCATTTAATAATTTGATCATGAAATCAGATTTCCCCCATTCCCTGGTGTTTTGATTTGGTTGTTGTAGTCTGCCTCTGTGTCAAAGATAAGTGTAAAGTTAAGGTATTTCTGAGGTTGTGATTTATCTGGCTTTATAATTTCCCTTGTGCAGTTACTTGTGAATGCTTTGGTTCTTTTAAAATATATTTTATTTATTTGTATTTTATGTGTATGAGTGTATTGCCTGTATGTATGTAAGTGCCCCCATTGTTGTGCAGTGCCCACAGAGGTCAGAAGAGGGCATCAGAACCCCTGGAACTGGAGTTAAAGATGGTTTTTAGCTGCCATGTGGGTGCTGGGAACTGAACCCAGGTCCTCTGCAAGAGCAGCCAGTGCTATTAACCAGTAAGCTATCTCTCCAGCTCATAAATGCTTTAGTTCTTAATATCCTAGTTCCCCAGTACTTGTGTTCAAGTGAGCCTTATTTTAGTTAATAAGGTCCCCCAGATCTTAGAACTGTGATACTGGCAATTTGGATATAACAGAAGCCATAACATGCTTTTAAAAAGATGGAAATTTTCAACTTGAGCCAGGAAAAAGTCATATATACCAGGGTTGCTAAAAATCCACAGTGTAATAAGATAATTTGAGGGAGACCGCATTCAAGTGACGGTTATTGAAGTATATTATTTTTAATTTTATTTTTATTCTTAACAGTATTTATAAATTGAATTTTGTTTCATATATGTATGTGTAGGGAAAAATCAGTATATTTATGGTCCACTGCTGTCTCCAATTTTGGGTACCCACTGAGAGTCTTAGAATGTATCCCCTGCAGATAGGGGTGAGGCTACTGCATTACAATTTTGAAACAAGATTGTAAGTAAAGTTGTTGGCTTAGAGAAGAATGGTCAGGAGTGGAGTGAGAAAATTGTCATAACGAGTAAAGTAGAGAAGTATGAAGGTAAGATGGAGAGGAGTGGACTGTGAATAAGGTGTGCTACTTTGCTGCCACTTCAAGACAGGTAGTGTTTGTTCTTGCACTACTGTCTTGTGAAAAGCATCATAGTCAGCAGCTGTAACAAGCAAGGTGCTCTGTTTTGGATTATGGAAGTTTTTATTCTAAACCAGAGAAAATTTGCAGTGATTTTATCTTTTGCCTGTACTACACTACAGATGGTCCCCCACTCTTTGACTTTATGGTCAGGATATAACCCCATTGGAGGTCAGGGAACATAACTCTCACATAACCCCATTGGAGAGTGAAAGTGAAATGTAGCATGTTTCCTTTTGAGGGCTAATCACCCAGTAACCAGACAGCTGCCAAATGCTACTGTTTATTTCATGACCTAAAACACTCTTAGCCACTATTTAGTATTTAAAAAAAAAAAAAAAAATAGCCCAAATGTAGTGATTACCTGTTCTGGGGAAACAGATCTCTCAGACCATTTCAAGAGGTCAATAAAATCAATACTGTTTATACTTAATAACAAGATGTTACTGCTTTTTTAAATTTTTTACTCATTTTCTCACAGATGAGTAGTTTGGGTTTGTAGACTGCACATGCAGTGTCTGTTGTGACAAGCTGATATGATGTTTCAGATCCACCTTCTTTCTTTTAAGCCAGATACTGATATTTATAAAAACTTAAAGCAATATCCCCCCCATTTCTTTTAGAAACTGTATTTTTCATAAATACAAAAGGTCCATAATTTCTGTTAATACAAACATTATTTGTATTAGCAGGTAGTGGGTTTATGTAAGTAAATATACATGGTCCCTGACTTTCAATGGTTCAGTTTATGTTTTGGAATTTTTTTTTTTTTAGATTTTTACCATGGTGTGAAAGCAGTATGCAATCAGTATAAACCACTTTTTGAGTTCTGAATTTTGACCTTTTCCTGGGCTGGTGGTATGTGGGCAGGACACTTTTGATGTGAAACTATAGCAGCTCCCAGTTGGCATGCCTTACCACGGAAAATAACTGACACTCTATAGTGTGTGGCTAAGCTGTAGTATTCAGTAGGCTGTCAGTATTAAAAGCATGTTTGAATTCTAATATTTTCACTTTGTGATAGGCTTATTGGGATACATCCCCGTTGTAAGTTGAAATTGTATGTAAGCAGAGATTTTGTTTATTTGCCTGCTTATTTGTTTTTAAATATTTTATTATTTTTAAATGTGTGAGTATATTGCCTGCATGTATGTAAGTATACCTGTATTGTGTAATGCCTGTGGAGGTCAGAAGAGGGTGTTGGATCCCTTGGAACTGGAGTTACACATGATTGTTAGCCACTGTGTGGGTGCTAGTAACTGAACCCTAGTTCTCTGCAAGAGCAGCCGGTGCTCTTAACTGCTGAGCCATCTCTCCAACCCTTGCTTGTTTGTTTTGAGACAGTCTTACCACCATGTAGTCCATGCTGGCCTCAAACTTTAGATCCTCCTGCCTTAGTCTCTGGAGTGCTGGAATTACAGGTATGCCACCACTCCTGCTAAACAAAGGCTTTGTAGAGCAATGAAAATATTCTGTGTGGTACTGTAGTGACAGATTCATGTCTTACATTCATTCAAACCCATGTGAAGCACATCACTAAGAGTGAACCCTAATGTGAACTATGGATTTTGGTTGATTCCTAGGTTTGTTAGTTATGTAGACCTTTCCTTTAAATGCCTGCTCATTCTTAGCTCACTCCATAATTTACAATAGGTACTGAAAAATTAATTGAAATCTCTAGACATGTTGTTGGGGCTGATCACCAGTGATCCTGGTAAGATTATGGGTGTGCTTTGCTGCTCAACCTTGTAGGAGTTCCAGAGTACAAATCCAAACTAAGTCATTTTAACTTTTGCTGTCCTAAAATCATGGTAGCAGATGATGCCAGTGCTCTGTCCAAAGGCCTTTCTTCCTTGCTATTTTTGGTCTTCGGGTGTGGGTCATTCCCAATGTCTATTTCCTTCTGTTCTCACTGGGATAAAGCTGTCTTCACAATGTTGGAGCCTACTCTGCCAGTGTACGTGCTATACAGGTTATCTAGAAAATTTCTTCCTAAGGGTTGATCTCAACTTATGATCAGTGGTGACATTATCTCCAGTGCTGCCTTGAGGGATGGGCTAAATTTGCCTTCCATGGGACCTTGCTTGGTATCTTATTTTTGCTTAGCTCCCTTCCTTGTCTTATTTCCCTACAAATTTTCCCAGTGAACACTTCAGTTGACTTTTAAGAGAAACTGGGTCACAAAATGATTAAGAAACAGTTTATTTGGGCTGCTCTAAGTAGCAACTCAGGAGACACATACTTCAGGCAACTGAAATGTTCTCTGAGGTCACAGAAATTTCAAACACAAAAAGACAAAAAAAATCCCAGGTAGGAAGGGGTATTATATCAGGCAGAGAATCAACATGTCTTACAAGAAAGGAACTAGTAATTTAAAGATAATGGATCATTCAATAGTCAGAAAGAGAGAGTGGGGAAAGAAAGAAAATAGAATCTTGGAGTGGGGAGTGGCACAGATCTGTAATCCTAGCACTTGGGAAGTAGAGGCAGGAGGATCCTCAGCTATACTACATAGTAAGTTCAAGATCAGCCTAGACCGTGTGAGACCATTTCACTAAAAACCCAAACAAAAAAGGAATTTTTTGTTGTTTTGGTTTTTAAATATTTATTTTTATTTTATGTGTGTGAGTGTATTGCCTGTGTGTGTGTAAGTGCATCTGTGTTGTGTAATGCCTGTGGAGGTCAGAAGAGGGTGTCATATCTCTTGGAACTGAAGTTACTGGCAGTTATTAGCCACTGTGTGGGTGCTGGGATTCAAACCTGGGTCCTCTGGAAGAGCAACCAGTGCTCTTAACTGCTGAGCTTTCTCTCCAGCCTGCAAAAGAATTCTGGAGAAAAGAAAGGAGTTAGATTTGAAATGACCCCAGTGAGTCTCTATAAGATTAGAATGCTTCATGGGAATGAAAACCATAGGTCTTGGCTCTTAAATTGCAGGGTGTAGTACATTGCATAGGGCCAAACATTTATTTGGGGGAAAAAAAAAGGTGTTTTTTTGTTTGTTTATTTGCTTATTTGTTTGCTTTAAAGTTTATTTGGAGGTAGTTGTGACTAAAACCTGGTCTCTTGTGTCCTCTGGGTCTAGTATTTTGGAATATCTCAGTTTGCCTCTTTCTTTAATTTTAAATATTCCCTACTTTTTAATCTCTTTCATCCAAGTGCCTCTTCTTAGAGTTTGCTTCTAGGAACCTGAGTTAATTTATGCTGCATTTGCTTGACTAGTGTAGTATTTTTGAGTGAGATAAATTAGACTGTACTTTTCTGTGCTGTGTATTTTGGTTTTTTTCTTTTATTATTATATTGGTGTCAAGCTTTAAAAGAATTTGCTATGTAGTATTTTAGAATGATTTACTTTTTTTTTTTTTTTTTTTTTTTTTAAGATTGAACTATTTGCCTGGCATGGTGGGTGTATATCTTTAATCCCAGCACTCAGGAGGCAGAAGCAGGCGAATCTTGGTGAGATCCAAGCCAACCTCGTCTACAGAGTGAGTTCCAGGCCAGCTGGAGCTACAGGGAGACCTGGCTCAAAAAAAGAACGTAAAGAAAATTTGACATGAGATTTATACTAAAATTCTGTAATCCAGTAAATGAAGATGATGTTGGTTTTTTAGAATGTAATACGGGCTCTGTGATGGGAGGAAATATTTCCTATAGGGCTGACATTTACAGTGTCATCCTGGGGAAGGTAAGGCAGCTGGGCCTCCACCAAAAGCAGAGGGATCTTGTTACATCTCCCTAACTCATCCCCAGCTTAGAAAGCAGAGAGGTATGATCAGAACTGGTTCTAGAGTTTTAACTCTCCAGCCCCACCCCTTTAACTGAGCATCTGCTAAGTTGGCCACATGTCCAGAAGGTTCCACAACCTCCCAGAATAGCACTACCAGCTCGTATCCAAGTGTTTAAGTACATGAACCAATTTTGGGGTGAGGGGTGAACATTTCCCAGTAAAATCATAACATAACCTATCTGATACAGATTTTTCTCATCTGTAATATAGAGATATTATCAAATTTTTAGGTTGCTTTGAGGGTTATAGCAAACAGTTTTTAACATGGTGCTTCTCATGTACTTTGCAGGCCATTTTAGTTTGTCACTAAGATTCATCTTAGTTTTAAAGAAAAGTATGTGAGAAAAAAAATAAAGATGTATAATCACTTTACTTTGGTTTGAAAAGGGGAGTATATTTTGAATATATATTATATAAACATAGCACATGAATATAGTAATCTAGAACAATTTCAAATATTGGCTTGAAACTTTGGCAAGATAGATCATATAAGTCCTTGAGAGTGGGATAATCTTTTTTTTTCTTTTTCAATCAAGTACAACAGGGTTCTAGGAACTTTATTGTGAATTCCAGAGGTGCTCTGAAAGCCTAAAAATTGGGCGATTACTTGCTTTTATGGTAAAAGGCATTGAAGTCTTGGTAAGAGGGTATTAGTGATTTGCTGATGTGACTGAAAACTAAGTACAATAGAAGAGGAATATTAGTATTAGTATTTCAGATATATTGTAAGTTCCTTTCAAGAACAATGCAGTAAAGCAAATATCCCAATACAAAATGAATTGTAATATTTTGGTTCCCCATGATATGAGTTACAGTTGCACAGTGCTATGGTTGGACAATGCTATTGTCTTTAAAATGTACATACTGTAATTTTTAAGAATGGTCTGGTCTTCCAAACCCTCAGTGAATCATACTCTTAGTAGTAGGGGACTCCTCTGTATTAATGGCTGCTCACTCATGACAAGTAGGTTGCTGAAGGTTGCAGGGAGTGACACTGCCATGTTTCTGAAAACAAAATAATGACAATGAAAATTGCCACATCAATTGATACTTCCTTTTACAAAGGGTCTGTCACATGGAAGCTGCAGGATAGCAGTTTATGCCTGTATGTCTTTCTCTAAAATTGTAGTGAGTCCTCTCAAGCTGTGTCTCTGCTTTATCAGCTGAGTTAATGTAATAGTCTAAATCCCTTGCTGTCGTATCAACAGTATTTGCTGAATCTTCGTCATGATTGGTTTCTATCTTAAGAAAAGAAAACACTCTTTTCTGTAAGAAGTACTCCTCAAGGTTAAAGTTTTAGGGTGAAATTTTAGTAATTCAGGTACATCTTCAGACTCTAGTTCTAACCTGGCAACTTCAGACCACATTGTTCCCTTGCCTGTTTCCACCACATCTATAGTTGCCTCCTCTACTGAAGTCTGGAAATCCTTGGAATTATCAACAAAGGTTGAAAACGTCTTATAAAATGCATCCAATGAATCATGAATCCTTTCCAGGTGGTTTTCAGTTTGCTTTGGCTAGATCCATCAGGTGAATTGCTGCCTGCAGCACATAAATTCTTTAAAAATGTGTTTCTTAGGGCTGGCAGGATGGCTCAGTGGTTAGGAGCACTGGTTGCTCTTGCAGAGGACCTGGGTTTGGTTCTTAGAACCCACATGGTGGCTAACAACCATCCGTAACTCCAGTTCCGGGTGATCCGCCACCCTCTTCTGACCTTCACAGGCATTGCACAACATGGGTGTGCTTACACACATGCAGGCAATGCACTCAAACATGTAAAACAAAAAATAATGAATAAAACAAAACATTTTAAAATGCATTTCTTAAATAAGGCTTAAAACTTCAAACTACTCTTTGATCCATGGGAAGCTGTTAGCAAGCCTGAACACAGCATTCATCTTGTTCTGTATCTCTAATCTCCATCAGAGGTCTTGGATGGGCAGAAGTAGTAGTGTTTTGAAAGGAATCTTTTTTCCTGAGAAGTAGGTCTCAGGAAAATATTCAGTAAAAATTTTATCAGTAGAAGTACTATCATCCAGGCTTTGTTATTCCATTACGGAGCATAGGGAGAGTAAATTTGGTACAACTTTGAAGGGCTTAAGATTTTTGGAATGATGAATGAGCACTCGCTTCACCTAAGGGCATCTACTGCATTAGTCCTTAACAAGAGATGCCAGTCCTATGAAGCCTTGAAGCCAAGAACTGTCTTTTCTTGTCTCTGAAAGTCTTACATGGCATCTTTTTCTAATATAAGGTTCTTTCATCTACACTGAAAATGAAGTTTAGTGTAGCCCCTTTTCATTGATGATCTTAGCTAGGTCTTCTGAATAACTTGCTGCAGTTTCTACGTCAGCATTTCCTGCTTCACTTTGCACTTTGCTGTCTCCAAACCTCATGAACCAACCTCTGCCAGCTCTATACTTTGCTTCTGTACCATCTTCACCTCCAACTTGTATTTTGAAACTTTTAATTGAAGAGTTAGGGCCTTGCTCTGAGTTAGGTTTTGGCTTAAGGGAGTATGATAGTGAATCTTCCATTCACCAAAACTTTTTTCAGATAAGCAGTAAGGCTGTTTCACCATCGTCATCTGTATGTACACTGTAGTAGAAATTTCGGTTTGCTTCAAGAACTTTTTCTTTGCTTTTACTACTTGGCTCTTTGGCATAAGAAACTGGTTTTTGTGTCTCAGATTTTAATATGCCTCCCTTAATAAGTTTATTTATTTCCAGGTTTTGATTTAAAGTGACAAGTATATCTGAGTGGTTTTTTTTTTTTCCACTTGAACACTTAAAAGTCCACTTTAAGATTATTATTTGGCATAATTTCAGTATTGTTGTATTCTGGGGAAAGGGGAAAAAAGACAGAACAAGAAGTTAATCAACTAGAACACATATACCCTTTATTAGGTTCATAGTCTCATACAGATGTGTTTCATGGTGTCCCAAAACAACAATAGTATTGATATAAAAGATCACAGACCACCATAATAGATAATAATAATAATAGTAATTAGCCAGGCCTCATGGCTCAGGCTTGTAATCCTAGCTATTTTGGAGACTGAGGCGGGGGATCACAAATTCAGGATACAAAGTAAGTTCCAGGCCAGTCTGGACAACTTAGTGAGATCTTGTCTCAAAAAGTAGAGGGATACCTGGTGTGGTGGTGCACACCTTTAATCCCAACACTCAGGAGGTGGAGGCAGTGTGTGAAATCCAGGCCAGCCTAGTCTGTGTAGTGAGTTCCAGGCCAGCTGTGGCTACAGGGAGACCCTGTCTCAGAAAAGCAAAACCAAACAACAACTACTAAAATTAAAAAAAACAAAAAACAACCAAACAAACAAAAAACCAGCGGAGGGATGTCTAACATGCATGAGGCCCAAAGTTCAATCCCTAGCACTGCCAAAAACAAACAAAAACCAAATGAAGTATTAAGGGCATTACCCAGTTGTGCCTATGATGCAGAGTGAGCCTATACTTTGGAAAAATAGACTTGTTTAGTTCAGGATTTCCACAGCCTTCAATATATAAAGAGTACAACATCTTTTATTGCAAAGGGCAATAATATAAGTTATGCCTGTCTCTACAGGGGCTAAGAAAATTAACATTCAAAGTTCTATAAGAGATTAAAAAATGTGAGAACACCTCAAAATAATATCAAAATTTTAAAAGATTTATTTGGGTTTTTTGAGACAGGGTCTCCCTGTACCCCCAGCTGGCTCAGAATTTACTATGTAGACCAGGTTGGCCTCCATCTCATAGATCTGCCTGCCTCTGCCTCCCAAGTGCTGGGATTAAAGGCATGTGCTACCTCTAGCAGCTTTTAAAGATTTATTTGTGTGTGTGTGTGTGTGTGTGTGTGTGTGTGTGTGTGTTCATTCATGTGAATGAGGGTGCCAAGGGGACAGAAGAGTGAGTTGGATTCCCTGAAGATGGAATTACAGGCAGTTGTAAGTGGCCTGATGTGGGTGTTGGCAACCAAACTCTGGTCCTCTAAAGGCAAGTTCTCCTAACCACTGAGTCATCCCTCCAGCCCCAATATTGACAGAATTTTAAGAAAAATATACTTGATCAAATTGTACTTAATATATGAAGGTAATAGGCATTCTCAACCTTCAAGAATTTCAGTTATAACACCAAATAACTGGCTCAACAATCTAGCTGGAAAAATGTAACATTAATAAAGAATTCACACTTATGAAAGGTCTGATAAAATGACTGTTGGTGAGGTTGGAATCTAATTTCACATAGGTCAAAGATTAAGCAGTCAAGCAATTACAGTTCAAAATACATATTTACCAAATAAAACTTTAATAAAATTGTGTGCGTATGTGTGTGTGCATATTGATTTTCGCATTGCAGCAAAAATGTAATGTCTAAAATTGAAATGTAGTTAAATAACTTCAATAATTTTCTGTGTCTTTAAAAGGGTCATTTAGAGGACAAAGGTCATTCTAAATCTAGGTGATCTTCTGTCCATTAGATTAATTTTGTTTCCTTTTTCTGATTTTACATGTTAAATATTTGAAATAGCATGACCAATATAACCCCAATTTTGTGAAAGTTAACAATGTGGTTAAGAGTCAGAAGGCTCGATTCATAGGGCTAGTGTGACAGGAATGTTACTGATTTCTCTGTCTTCATCTGTAAAATGGGGATAATAGATCTTAGTGTATCCACATCAAGCTCTTAAACACTTTTTTTTTTACATTTATTTGTATGTGCATGCATGCACATACATGCATGACATAGCA